TTTAAAATTTGAAACTGTTTTTTTCTAAAAAAAAAAAAAAATACAAAACTCGACTTTTTTTACTCATTTTCTCAATTATTTTTAGAAAAAAACTAAATTGAATTTTGAAAAAGTGGTTCCAGAGGAGCATAGATCTAACCTTTACCTACACGTACATATTTTTTTCTTTTAGAATAAGTCAAAAATAAACTTTAAAAGTGGGGTACTACGAAACCCTTACATGGCAAGATTTTTCGTCTGGAAAGTGGCGCCTCTATTAGATTTTTAAGAAATTAATATTTGTGAATGAAAACAATTATGATATATTTTACTGATGTTTTACGAGGGATGAATAAATTTTACGTATTTGTACACCTTATTTTTTACGTAATTTATTTCTTTAATACTAAGATTGGTATATATATTATACGAAAGGGTTTCATAGTACACCAATTTTACGGATTATTTTTCAATTTTATTAAAAGAAATTTTATGTAAGAACAGGTAAAGGCTTAGTCCATACCTCTCTGGAGTCACTTTAAAAATATGAATCAGTCTCTTTTGAAAAAATCTAAGAAAAGAAACGAAAAGAAATAGAAATGTTAAAAAATGCTAGAAGAGAACAATATATTGAATTTTTGCCTACAGGAGCATTTATTTTTATTAGAATAAAAATATAAATACGTTAAAAGCTTTTTCGTCTAGATGGTGACACCAACAAAATATATATCTTTTTCTACTATTTAGTGATAAACAGTACGTAAGTGATTTGAATTCATGTTGTTATTGTTTACATACAGTAATTTCGTTAAATTAATTTTATCATTTATTTATTAAAAAAATATATATCCGAAATTGGAAGGTATGCACTGAGATGTGAATTATAAATATGTTTTTGTTTAATGAATACCACTTCGAGTCAACAATAATTATTAATTCCATTCTCTTCAATCCGTTAAAGTAATGTAAATATTTTTTCTTGCTTTCGCGCATGGCTTTGATCTGTCGCACACTTTAAGGCGCGTTGCAAGAAAAATTTTTCTAAAAAGTTAGCCAATTTCTATGAATGAGAAAAAAACGATTTTGACAATCTGATTGTGCATTGTGGCACCATAAAAGACGAGTCACCTGCTTTAAAATTTGGAGAAGTTTGTATAAAATCTCCTTAAATCTTTTATTTATTTGAAAAGCCACCCGATATGGCAGGAGCCATACATTCAGAGCAAAATAAGATTTGGAAATTTATTTGCAAGTGAAAGTTTTTAAATGTGGACATTTTAATGAATTCGAATTTGATTATGTTGCTGCCAGTCTGGATGGAATTAAAAAAAAAAACAAAACTCTATGATAGAGTTAAAATGTCCATATGGAGCTGAAGTGCTAACTGTAAAAGAAGAAATATACAGTACAGAAATAACTTTTTGGAAAAAGGACAATACCATTAAGGAGAACCACTATTGGTATTTTCAAATTCAGGGCTAGCTGCACATAACACAAATGGATTTTTGCATTTTGTGCTTTTGGACTTCTGGAGGAATAAAAGTGGAGAAAATATCTCATAATTGGGAAAAAAAGATACAAAATAAAATTAAAAATTTTTATATGCAATATGCCTTGCCGGAACTTGTTGACAGCGAAGCTAATAGAGACATGGAAGTACGAGATAGAATACTAAATAATTCGTAAGAAATTTTGTTTATTGTTTATTAACATAACGCAAGGAATCTTAAATTATTTTGAATATTTTTATTAATTTAAGAATTACATTTTATTTATTTCTAAAACATGGTAGTAGGCGATCCATTTGAGATATAATTAATGTCTTATTATTATAGTACACTGTTTTAAATTTAGGATTTACCAGTGGCAGTGGTAATTGATGATATATAATTATTATTATACCAAATGTTTTAAAAGGCTACACCAACCAGTGGACCACGCTTTTAAGTCCCCAAATAATAGTTTCAAGATTTTGATTCGGATTCGAAGTTTTATGTCAAAGCAAATTCATGTATTGATATTGTAATACGTAGATGAGTAACTATCATCAATAGAAATTGAAAAATCACACATGAGTCTTTGTAACAACGTTATTTATAACTTTATTAACTTCATAACGGTCAATCATTTTAGTTAACTTATTTAATTTTAAATACAAATTTTCATATTGTTTAGTTGTTGCAACTTTACTGCGCTTAAGTTGCGTTCAGATTAAAATATGAAAAACAGGAACTAATGCTTTCATTCCAAAAAGAGTATTATGTTCACTAAAAGGAATTTCGAACTGTGATATCTGCAAGTCCTTATTTGAAACCTTTAAATTTAATATTATAATTGAACAAAAGTTATCTTTACAAATTTATAGAAATATCGAACATAAGTTTATTGACATAAACATTATTTCCATAATACAAATAAATATATCTCTGTTTAAGAATACACATAATTTATTTAATATAGTCATTTATACATGTTTTTGTTTTTTGTCTGGATGATATTGAATACTAACTTTTTCTTTGTAACTTCGTATACCCGAGACATTGTGAGATAAAAAACAGACAATTAATTAAAAGCGCTCACAATTTTTCAGGTATAGAATTTTCAATGCTATACTGTTTTCCAAATTATAAAAATACTAAAGAATATTAAAAAAAAAAATAATAAATAAAAAGCCAATTAAAGAATGTGTTAATATCTACAGAAGAACATCGTATTTCTTTTTTGGAAACAAAGAGTAGTCGAAAATTGTAAAAATAACAACATATTTTTATTTCACAAAAATAATAAGTCAGTTTTTGTTTTTTATGTAAATCATATCATTTTCAAGGCAATGAAACAGAAGAAAAGTCACCGAATACAGATTTCAGGAAGGTCTATTAGTTTTTATAGGAAATGGAAAGAGAGAGAACGCTCTCTAATCAAGTTAAAATTCTTTACTAATTTCGCTGTTTCTCTTCGACGATGTCCGGTCTCCGTCTTGTTTAAAATCGATAACTATAAACAAATTAAGGTATTTTGTACCGTGTTAAAAAATTTAAGAAAAATTTTGAAGAATTTTTTTTTTAAATAGTAAACTTTGACAAACATATACAATAGACTGGGTCAAAAAAATTTTTATTTTTGAAAAATATATCGAGAATGTTATTCAGAGTGACAAAAAAAATTTCTTGAAAATTTGAGAGCTTAATATTAATTTTAAGAGGTCTATCATCGCTATTTTTGATTTTTAGTCATAATTTAATGTTTCACGTTAGAACTGTCAAAACATTAAAGTAAAAAAATTCCTTTTCACTTATTTTTATATAAAATTAAAATCTCTACAAAAAATTTCATGTTTTTCTTCGATTTTAATCGTGAATAACTTTTGAAGAAAATAGACCTTTTTTGTAGAACAGCTTTTTTAAATATTCATTGATTCATTAGTTATAAAATTTCAAAGTAAAAAGGACAAATCGAAAAAACACATCGATCTATTAAGCTCAATTACTCGGAAACGGCTCGTCTGACGAAAATTTTCAATCAGACCTTTTTTGTTAGTAAGGGGGTACCTCAGGGGTGGTCCCATATAAATTTGGTTAAGATGTGGTGATGGAATCAGCACGATTTTAAAGTCGGTTTTTTAAAATTACTTTTAATACTTTTTACGTAAATTAAAAGTTTAATAATTTGGTGCTTTCTTGATGCGTCGTTTTATGAACACTTTGTATATGTTTAAGTACAGATAATTATTATTACTGGCAGTTTATTTTAAATCATTAAAATAATATTTTGTTAATCCAAAAAAGGCAAGCAAAAAAGCCATGTCACATTCAGTGTAATAATAGAAATTAGATATATAAATATAGTACATTATGTACCAACAGACTAAACTTTCACTTTCAAACCCGCCCTTTTGTCGTAAAAGACTTCTAAATTTTTACTAGTGACGTCTGTACCGGGTTTGAACTAAATATTTTTGAACAAAAATATGGTACGCCACTGCTTTTTCTAAAAACCAAAATTATCTTTAAAATCCTTATTTATTTTCGAGCAAATTTGGTTTATAGACGTACTTTCGTACGACGCACCCTTTTCGCGTAAGAAAATAAGAGTTTATTGAAACTGCTTTTGATATTTTGTTGAAATTTGGTAGGAACTCACCATGAGTGGAAACACTTTTTTTTGGCAAAATAAAATAGTTATTTTTTTCGTAAAACTTTAACACCCAAGGATTCACACCCTTAAGTATCGGCAATCAATTAATAAATACCCTGTATTAAATTACCTTATTCTAACCAATCGTCTATTTTTTCGTTATTTGTATTTTTATTTCACAATTCTATACTCTTAAATCTAATTTAATCTAACTAAACCTATTCACTAAATTAAAATATAAAAATAATGTAAAACCCTCTAAAAAATCTAAACAATATCTCGCAATGCACCGAGAAAAACAAATACGATTCTGGTTCCCCTAATTTAGGTAACTCTGACTCACTTAAGAACAAGAACTGATGAACGTCTGTCGGCAGCCGTGGTAGGAGTTTTAGGTTCGTATGAGTCTCAACGTCGCGAGTTAGAGTCGGTGCACACGAACGTATTTATACGGTGCGGTAACGCAACGTCGACGCTGCGATGTCGCAGAAGTGTTTTTGACTAGAGTGCACACGAGCGCCCAACGCATGTAATATTTATTCTCTCAGCACGACGCAAAGATGGAGGTCGAATATGAACAACGCGTTTGCATATTACGTATACAAGTTTTATATTTGTAAAAAAAAAATATTGGGTACATCCTTATGTAAGCGCTCGTGCATTACAAGGAGCATTTGCTCGTGATTTTATGGATCTCAGAGGTGACAAGGTAAAGTTTTTTAATTATTTTCGTATGAGTCAAAAGTCATTTACATGTTAAACTAAGCGAAAGCCTAAAGACACAAGACACGAATATGAAATTGGCAATATCTCCGATGGAGATGTTAGCTGTTACATTACGGTAAGTAAAAAAAATAAACAAATGGAGTAAATACATTTATTAATAATTACTGCTGTGAATACAAATCGTAATCGTATGTAGAAGGTGAATGTTGAGATTGGGAAGATGGAGAAGCAAGGTCTGGTGAGAATGGAGGCAAAGGAGACCTTTGAGGTACCGAAGTGAATGTTTGAGTTTGCGACGGTCTTTGGGAAGTGAAAAGAGAGGAGGGAAAATGATCAGAATTTTTCAGCTGAGGGTGTGAACGAATGGGTGTCGGTTGAGTGACAAAGTGAAAATGTTGCATTTTATGTTGGGATTGTATAGGAAGCAGGCCTGACCGATAGCGCTTGACCATCTTCAAAAGCTCTAATCGAAATTCAATTTTTTGGTCCGGCGTAAATCCTCGAACCATCGGCAATAGATAGTTAAAGAATGCTCTGTCTTCGTCGTCATCTGGGGCTGACGTTGGTGCGGGGCGCTGTTGCATAAATGTTAATAAAGCATCTTCTATTTTCCTTTTCCTCGGAGGTGCCGTAGGTGCGGCTCGACGTTGAGCGGTTCTTGAAGGACCGGGAATCTCATCAGTATTCCCGGCGGGAGGCTCTTCGTTGTCGGCTTCGGCATCTTCTTCCTCTGCTTGGGAACTAGCTTCCGTTGGAATATTTTCCCGCGTTCCCATCAAAAAGTCCAGCTGGCGGGCGTATATGTACCTTCGGCCGGTTTCGACTGCTTGGCCGGACTTTGTTATCTTACGTTGGAAACGCATGAAGTTGTCTCTCACATTTCGCCAGCGACCCATAATTGTTTTTCCTGAAATATAGAATTAATGTATGATATTGATTTAGTGAATATGCATAAAAAGTTGGGTATTATTTGGTGATATTTATGTTATTGTTTTAGATATTTGGGTGGAGGAAGTACCTTAGTTGAATTACATTACTCCTACCGCATTGGGCGTTCAACTTTAAGCAAATTGGTCAGAAAAGTGTGTCGAGCACTGTGAACTACTCTTCGTTGTGAGATGTTTCCGGCATATACTGAAGATCGATGGTCAAGTATTTGCGAAGGATTTGAAACGAAAACGAATTTTCCAAACTGCATTGGAGCGATAGACGGAAAGCACATCAGATGCATTAAACCGAGCCTAAGTGGATCCCTATATTTTAATTATAAGCATTACTTTTCATTCGTCTTATTAGCCATCGCAGATGCTTCATACAACTTTATTTACATAGACGTTGGTGCACCAGGCAAAGATTCCGACAGCACTATTTTTGAGAAGTCTTCCTTTAATATACAGCTAGAAAATGGTTCATTAAAAATTCCACGCGGAAAAGTGTTACCCGGAACTAACCGAATAATGCCGTATGTATTTGTTGCAGATCAGGCGTTTGCTCTATCGCGGCACATTTTGCGACCTTTCAGCGGCAGATTTTTAAGTTATAAGAAACGAATTTTTAACTACCGCCTCAGCCGAGCACGACGTTATGTTAAATGTACATTCGGTATCTTGACCAACAAATGGCGCATTCTACATCGACCGCTAAATGTCAGTTTGGACTTTGCAAAAGATATAGTGAAAGCCTGTTGCATTTTACATAATTTCGTACGTAATCGCGATGGATATTCATATGATGATACACTAACTACTAACGGACTATTTGCCGATGAAGCTGTCCCGACTGTACCTCAAGGTTGACGTGCTCTAAACCAGCAGCGTCACACATGGGCTGATTATTTCGTTAGTGACGCAGGGCAAGTGCCTTGGCAGGATCGAATGGTGTAAGCCTAGTTACCAAAACTTATTCTAAATGCTACACTATTCTAGCATATGCTACCCAAATGGAGCACTAGCGCTTGTCGTGATAAATTGTTAAAGTTATATTAACGAAGTGTAAACAGATTTTTTGGGAAAAAAGCCGTTTTCTTTAAAAGTAATAATTATCGTTTGTAATTAACTAACTTTTAAAATTATTTTGTCCAGGTCTGATTACGATAGATAAATAAATGTTTGTACTTACCTAATGCATTTTTAATGGCTTCTTCCTTGGTTTCGGAGTCGGGGATGAGGGTACTACAAACTTCTATCCAAGCCGCAGTTTTTTTATTTTTATTTTTGTAGTCTTCACTACCTACATCCCAGAGTTCTGGATGTCTTCTCACCTCTTCAATGAGTAACTCCGTGTCAATTTCCCTCTCAGTCATTTTCACCGCACGTTCTTGTTGACGCTCATGTGTACTCAACGATATACGGTAATGTACTGTTTTGCCGCGCGAACGACGGACCACGGCAGCGGTGAAGCAGTCACCGCAAGGGGGATTTCGCCGCTGCGTCACCGTCGAGCGGTAAAGAACGTCGGACGTCGTCGACGTCAAGTGTGAATTGCTCCATTGGAGTCAATGTATTTGTGGATCAGGCGTGTTTTTACGTTGCGTTACCGCACCGTATAAATACGTTCGTGTGCACCGACACTTAGAGTTTGGAATACGTATCCCTCGTATCTACAGGCAACTGTTAAAATTATGAATGAATGCGGATTTTGTTTAGTCTCGGAAGTAATTTTGTAGTATTTAGGCTCCACCCTTAAGTTGTAATTTTTATACCTACTAAACTACCGTTGCCCCGCAGGTCTTTCAGTTTGTAATGTAAATTTTCCTCTTAACATACGTTGTAATCGGGACACGAATTTAATGGTTTTTTAAAAATATATGAAAGAGGCTTATGGTCCCTTTCAACTGTGACATCTTTATGACAATACACAAATTGATGAACTCGTTCGAAACCAAAAAGAACAGCAAGTTATTCACGCTCAATAGGGGCCCAATTTTGTTGTGATTTACTTAAGGCTTTAAATGAATAATATACAGGTAAATTATTTTGCAGTAATACTGCAGCTACCGCTGATTGTGAAAAATCAACAGAAATAGTTATGGACTTATTATTATAAAAAATTGTAGTACCGGTTTAGAACACAAAATAGTTTTTAAATTTTCAAAAGTTTGTTGTTGTTCGGGTTCCCAATTCCAAATAATGTCATCTTTTAACAAAATTCTTAATTTTTCATATTTATCTGACAAATTTGGGATAAATTTGGCAACATAAGTTATCATGCCTAAAAATCTTTCAACGCCTTTTTTGCAAGTAGGGTTTCTAAAGTTTTTTATTGCTAGGATTTTGTCATAATGAAGTTTTATACCATTTTTGGAAATTTTATGACCTAAAAATATTAAACCTTTTATTCCAAATTTACATTTTTTTTTTTACATTTAATTTTAAATTTACTTCGCGACATCTTTTTAATTATTTAATTAATCTTTTTCATGTTCATTCTTTGTTTTTCCCCATACTAAATAATCATCAATATAAGATTCAACACCATCAATGTTTCGAACAAAAAAATTTTTTTCATTGTGCCATGTAATCATTGAAACAACTATTAGGTAACTGAATCTTTATTTTTCGTGTTTACGCTTTACAAGAAATATAAGAAAACTTTATAGTCCGGAAACTATTGCTAATATATTTAAAGTCCAGACATTAATATAAAGTAATATAATTAAATTGAAATACAATCATAACAGTAGTTAAGTACTTTTTCAAAAAAAAAAAAAATAGTTGTACATAAACTACAATTGGTTAATAATAAGTTGTACTCGATTATATTTTTCTCTTAAAAGTACTTAAAATATTAACTACCGAATGTTAACTCCTTTGAGTAGTGAGTAGTTTCAATTGAAGACATTGGTGCAAGAACAGGATAATTCCATTTTATAGTGAAAACGAGATATCCCATTCACTATATTATCGACATTCTGCATGTTTTGGTGCAAAAAATCCGTAGCTAATATACAAATTTATAATAGAAAATTACTTGCTTGGTATAACAGTTTAGTGCAAGAAGCAGATAACTCTTAAACTTGTTTGATTTTAGTACCACGAAGTTAACAATGAGTGGGTGAGTTGCCTGTGCGGTGTCGGGTTAGTAACGATATTTATTTACAACCATATATGTAATGTTGTCATTACTAACGTCATTGAAGGTTGGGAAGTGTCACATTACAGACCTCTACTTCCCGCCCTCACTTCCCGCCCTCATTTCATCTATTCTAGATGAATATTTTTTATATTTAAAAAAAAATAACACTTTTTTTTGACAAATTTTATAATACCTATTTAATGGCAAACAATAAAAAACAACAATGAATTAAAATATAACAAACAACTTATTGATATTTATTATTCGCGAATTTAATATCCAGCTTTATCTGACATTTATTTATATTGGTGACAGTTGTTTACCCCGTAATCACAGTAACAATATATTTACCTACTTGATTATTCTGAGAAAACCACGCGCTTGGTAATGTGTCGTTAAATGTAATATTTTAGGTAGGTATGTTCAGAACAAAACAGAGATTTATTAAGTTTGATCGAAATATGATGGTTGTAAATAAAATAGTATACAAACCTCGGTAGGAAGTTTCATTCCTGTCTCGAGATCATAGCTAACCTCGACGCTTTGCGTCTCGGTGATCTAACTAATCTCACGACAGGAATGAAACTCTTCCCACCTCGGTGTGTATTATCGGAGACAAGAGAGACGTGTAACTTAATAGGAAAATATGTTCGGTGGTCCATTTAAATTACATATATGACCCTCTTTTTCTTTTACATTGATCTTTACATATGTCTATCTCTCTCCAATAAAGCTAACACCATTTTCAGAGGGCGCTGGTGTTGCTGGTTTTTTGACGTCAAAATATCGATTAAAACTGACAACTGACAATTTTATGAATGTTGTTATGAACATGTGCATTTTATTAAAATTAATTTAATTTGGGCCCCGTATATTTCTTTGAGTCTGATTTTGTTGTTTAATTAATTTTCTTTGGGGGGGAATGTTTATTTTTGCATATTATTTTTTGCATGAAGCAATTTCTGGAACCAAACTCGCGTTTTTATACACATTTCTTTCTAGAGGTAAGTAATTTCCAATTTATTAAGAAAACCACTGTATAATGTGTGTGTTTAATAATATATTACAAAATGACTATAATTATTTTAGGTGAATTGGAACAGAGATCCATTGTTACAGCTACTTGTGTTCATTAAGTAGGTAGATGAATGTCTGGACAGCTTTAATGGCAGCACAAAGTTCCTATCTATTAGAAAAGTAAAATGTATGCTGAGTAAAAAATCTGCACATGTAGTATTGGCAAAGGACTTTTGAAATGATTAGAGATTGGCTATTTCTTACATACACCTTCCTCTAATAGCCACTCTAAAGGAAGAAAAAAAATTGAATCACAAAAGGGCAGAATTTTAAATCAGGATGCATTGGAAAATAAATTTGGGGACATCAGGTCGGTTTTGGATTTTAGAGAGAGAGATCAATCTCAAGAAAAGTTTAATTAATCCTGCAGAACAACCAGTAGTTTAAGTAGGATTTGCTATAATTTTATTAGAAGATTTCCTTGACAATAAATTGTAATATACCAATTGTTTCAAATGAAATTGAAAAAGAGAAATTAGATTTTTCATGGGTAAAATGTTATATTCATTCAAACATTGTAAGGTAATCTGTAATAAAGGGAATGTGGAAAATAGGTATACCCTGGTGGTGTAAGAGACAGGTAAGGGGCAATTACAAAAATGTATTCATCTTTAAATAGTGTTTATTATTATTATTTGCTATGTTTGAAAAGTACCTCCTGCTGCAGAACAGATCGAATAGATTAGACTACTAATTGGAAAAGGTCCACCTAGTAATCAAATTAGGAGACTAGGAAAACCTTTACATGACTGCAGACACAACAGGAACGCACACGCACAAGATACACAAACAAACGAAATAACAGGGGTAAGCCTTCAGCAATGTCCTGTTTAAATGATGATAGTATGTCATCCTTCATTCCCTTTTAGAAGGCATGGCAACTTACATGTGTGTTTGTTTCGTTTCCATGGTTTCTATTAAAATAAACAGTCATAACATATCCATACCTTTTTGCCAGACTAATGTAAGCGACATTTGTTCAAATGGCACTTATGATAGTCTGGCAAAAAGGTATCTCTATACTTTATAAAATATTTGTTACATTAGTTTTTAAATATATTTTGAATATATAACAACTGTTACTTTCTTTGTAATTTGTCACAAAATGATAGGAGGTACTTTCTAAAGGAAGCAATTGTAGTTTGTTTTTCTGTACCTTACAAAAATATAATTTATAGAAAAAGAGTTTGGTGTATTATTTTTCCAAGTTTAAATATTTAATAATCAATAGAATTTTCAAGTTTTTTTTTTAGCGAAATTTACAAGAGTAATAAAAACTATGTTCACTGCTTATATTAAACTGATTAAAACTTCCTTTATTAAATTGATTATTTAAATGATAAAAAAATTGATGTTATTGGAAGCTTTAATATTTTTTAATATACAGTGAAACAATAGTTTTTGTTTCTCCTGTAAATTTGTATAGAAGAACTATTTATTTCTGAATCCATGTTTGAGTTTCCCGCCCTAAAGCATTTTTAATTTTCCCGCTATTTACTAGTGGCGCCATCATAGACTGGTTGTGGTTACAATCGCCCAAATAACTTTTACCGAACAAAAAAAATACATTGAGTTACACGTCTCGCTGGATTGTCTCTGGTATTATACTATTTCGGTATATTGTGATTGCGCGCGGCGGTCAAATACCTCCTCGGGTTCTGAAATTTACCTGAAGACGGGTACTGTGATTGCGTGCAACGAAAGGATTAAGAAAATTATCTTCAATCCATTTTCGTAATGAGCTTTTGAATATGGTTATTCATAAATTTGTTTTTGATGGGTATATTCTCGCAAACATTAGGGTAGATAAACAAATTCTTAGAATTACACTATTCCAATATCTATTTTCGTAATGACATGTATAAATACAAAAATCACAAATAAATATATAGTATTTCTAAAATGGAGTTTATGGTTAGGGAACGTGGCGGCAAATTAATTGTAATTAATAATTTTACATTTCGTAAAGATAGAGTACAATCTACGTGTATAAAATATCGGTGTACGAACAAATTATGTAAAGCATCTATTAAAGTGGATCACAATGAAACTATTTTCTTAGAAATTTGCTTCCACCACTTCCCAAAAATTTGGACGACGTTTTCGACGCTTTGGCTACAATTGAAATTAAAACTTCAATAAATGAAGACT